TGCTGTCTGAAAGTGGGTCATGTGATGTAAAAGTACAATCCAGCTCCAATTGAAAACTTCGTGGGTAAAAAACACCGTACAACTGGGAATTTATATAACCCTAGTACACATGACAAATCATCCCACACCTAATTTACAATCTTCACTTCACTTTCTGCTTTTTTGGAGAGTGTTTTCTGGACAGCTTTTTAGCTTAAACGGCCTTTTCTTTGCTGCATCCTTTCTGTCTGATTGAGACTGTTTTTTACACTGCTCCTCTCCACTTTTCGTTTTTCAATTCATGAATTAACATGCGTTTTCGTACTGACTTTTCCCCCCCTCTCTTTTGGGTCAATTCCAAATTTTACCAACAAAAGTTTGGTTTAATTGATAAATATCATTCTTTTTAAAGTAAAAGTTTTAGGTTCTAGTTTGGTCGATAACTTCTTATTATGATAATTTTGAATGCATTATTTGTAGTTATTATTTTTAAACTGTTGGATATGTTATATTATTTGTTTTAATATAAAAGATTGAATAATTTATATATTTTAAAATTTACTTACCAAAAAAAATTGCAGAGAGAGGGGGGGGGGTTAACCCAATGAAGAGAAGAGATACCAGATAAAAGAAGAGAAAAGAGAGAAAGGTTTTCGATGAACTGATCGAATGTCATTTTTCTTAACATATTTCAGTTTGATCAAATTTTGTTTCTTCAGTCATCATATTGTCCATATATATACTCTATTTGGCTTTCCTGATGTTAATGATAATCATCAAGCTGAGCTGTGGCAAGTTTGACAAACCAATTAGTGAGGTCTCCAGGATAGTAACAGCAAGATCAGAATTCAAATCTATGCAGAAATATTTAAGAATATAAGATTTCAAGTCCCAAGGTCTGAAATCGTGTTCAATTAAATTTTATTAGTTTGAGCTGTTTTCAACAAGCTAAGAAATATATATTTTTAGGGTTTGCGTAGGGTCTGATTTCATTAATGTGTTGTTTTCTTCTCAAAACTCTTTTTACTTTACCAGGAAAGGCTCTCTTTGAACCTATTTATCCCTTTTACAAGTAAAATGTTGCCTACCCATCTGATCTCCCTCTCTTTTAATTACATTAATCATATCAATTATTGAACTTTTTAAGTGCTAGTTTTGACCAAATTGTTGTCTCTAGTTATTCATTAACTGTTAATGACTATGATTAATATTTTTTAATTACAATTTAAATTTAAATTCAAATTCAAATTCAAGATTTTTAATTTTATTTTTAAACAAATTTCAATATCATCAAATTAACAGTTTATTGGTATTATAATTAAGATCTTAATTACAGTTACAGTCCTCTTCTTTTCTTTTTCAGTCCGAGCATCAAATGCCATACAAATTAAGACATAAGAAAATTCTAAACCAATGGAACGATGTGGGATTGGGAGCCAGCCAGCCAGCCAGGGTTTATTCTCTTTTTTATACACTGTTGTGAGTATATTTGATGTAATGTCGTGGTTCACGTCAGCCTAAACGGCGTTGCTTTCGGTGATTCCTTCCTTTCTCTTTTGTCTTCTTACCTCCGCAAATACTCTAAACATAGTGGGAGAAGCCGAGAAGGTGATATATATATATATATATATATTCAAATTTCAAAGCAACACATGCCTGTTAACCTAATCTCACGAATCACCATGAAGAAGCTAATATTCTTCCAATTGGAATAGACATTTTTTTTTTAATCTTCAAGACAAAGTAAGTATCAAAGAATGAACCATAAAAAAAAAAAACAGAAAAAAAAAACCCTGTTTTGTATGATTTGCATATCAATATTTGGTCTTTAATGTTGGACTCTTCTGATCTTCTCTTCAAAAATCAAAACTTACCCAAACTTTGTTGGAATATGAAGTTCATCATTGTTAAATTTAAGTTTAGAATTGAACAATGGTGGTAAGAAATGAGAGATGACTATGAATGTGGTAGCTAGGAAGAATATTAGTTATAAAGCTATGGTTAGGCCTTAAATTTTTTATTTCTTCGGCGGTCCGACAGTCATTTACCAGCTAATAATTTTGGTAATTAACAATAGTAATATAAACACGTCTGTTCTTGCTTGATATGCACTGCATCCATCATTTCTTCCTTTTTAAGAGACAAACGTCACCATTAAAAACATTTATGCATCTCGTAAAACCACAGCTACCAACTGGAAACGTATTAAAATTATAAGCACTATGAGATTAATTTAAATGGTATAGGTTGTTATTTATACTTCATTTGAATGAATGATGGAAAAAAATTCCTACCATGCCATCACTTCATTTTATTACTGAATTCAATCTCCTTTAATCGATCATTCAAATGAAGCATTAATTAATCTTGAATTCTAGACTTAATCAGTTGAATATATATCAAACAAAGGTTTTATAAAAAGAGTGATGTTCAATTTATATATATATATATATACATATATATATATATATATATGATAATGAAAACGATATTAAAACTACAAGTTTGGAAGATTTCACGAATTGAAAAAAAAATTCATAGGCAAAATGTTCTTATAAGACAAACACATGGAATGAGAATATAACCCAAGCATTTGACAACATTTCAAGTGAGCCATAGAGGGACATGTTGACCGGATATTACCCCACTGCAAAACGTATTAATTCAATAATCCAAAGCCCAACACAAACCAAAGAGAAAGAAAAAATAAAAAAGAATTTTAATTATTCTCTCAAATAAACTAACAGAAGAAACCAAAATATTTTTCATTTCTCGGAGAATCTAGAGCGCATCAGGCGCTGACCGTGGCTTTGAAAACTATAAACAAATGATTAAAGCATTTTAAACATATGATCTATTGTTTTTTCTTTCCTTGTAGTCCTCTTGTTGTTACTGTTTGATCAACATTTCAATCAAACAAATGGGATTAAAGAAAAGGAGGACAGGCCATGGGGGTTCGAGAATATGAGAATAAATTAAAGGGAAAATTCAGCAAATAAAACGGGGATTTGAAGAAGGAAAGAACAAGACAAGAGAACAAAAGAAGAGCTTACGACCTAGACAAGGTCACGACTCACGTCCGCATGTTCACGTGATAGATACCATGTTGACGCCGAGGAATATGGTCTTATGTTAGATTAATTTTTGGTATGTGGATTTTCACGCGCGGGTGGGGCTCGACAACAAGGTTTTTTTTTTTTTTCTTTTAAGGTTAAAACAGGAATATTTGGACACGGGGAGCGAAAGTGGGCGTTGGCGAGGATTACACGTTAAACAAATACCACCCATAGAGTTCAACGTTTATGTTTGGGCAGTGTCTTTGAATTCCTACTCGCTTTCTTTCACGTGATCCGAACGCGCCTCACACTTTGTCACCAAGTAGTATTATTTTTGGGATGTAAAATTTGTACTAGCACAAAGCAGTACTAAATTTTAAGATAAATATTTTCAATACATACAATTTAATGTATTTAGTTTTTTTTGCATACTTTACTGTTAAAATTCATGAATTTGAAGCTGCAAGAAATTAAATTTTGTTCATTTATATTAAAAATGAAATGTTCTACTAATAGATTACACAACACCTAACAGTTTGAAGTTTTACAATAACCATTTACCCCCTAAAATAAGTTTTACAATGGTAGGATTATTGTGTTTGGAAAACTATACATGGCATACTATATAATCCTATGCAATGAGTTACTAAATTGTCAATAATGTACAAGTATCTTGTTGTTTGTTGTTTTTACAATTCATCACTTTGCTCATGACCTTGTTCAAATCAATATCAACACAATTCTCTGTTTCTGTTTTTGTCCCCTCTTGTTATTTTTAACTAGTGTTCATATGCATGACTTATTAATCGAATCCTTTAAATTTAAAATTTATTGATATTTTCTTGTTGACGATAATTTTAAACACACTTAGGAGGAATGGTATCCTTTACTTTTGATATGAAAAACTGAAGGCTCGGGCTAGGGCTCTTGGAAGTGAAAAACGAGAAGGAAATTAAGATTAGGGCGCGTGGGAAAGTAACAGTGAAAAAAAACTTAAATGAAATACATGGGGCCTAGGTAAGAGTTGCATGTGGGTCTGAGACCCTGGTGTTGCCGGACACCCCAGCCAATCTGACACTACTCCTCTCTTCAATAGTCCCCGCTCCATATTCCTTCCCTCCTTATTACTCGTTGGACCTTTTATTTTTTCATTCCCACACACATATTTTCTCTCTTGGCAACATCTTCCCACGTGTACAGCTCGATGCTCATTGACAATTCAGGTTTTTGCCATACGTGCCCACCAGGACTCTAACACACCACCCACAGGAGTTTTCCTTGAGCCAAAGCACCCGACTCCTTTTAAAAAATTGGACACAGACTTGACCAAAGCTGGCAAATATAGTGGTTTGATCAGGATTTTTGGATAGTTAAATGTAAAACCGGACCCATAATAAGAAGAAATGATAAGGATTTTGATAAACAGAAAAGGGTGAGTATGTTTTGGTATATATAGCATGGAATTAATGATTATCATTGTGAATAATTATGTTTGTCGCTTTGTTAAATCTTTCAACATGAATAACAACATCGCAGCAGTTTAAGCATAAACATCATTTGTTAGGCAGTAAGCTTTCAAAGAGAAGAAAAAGATTTTAAAGAAGTTTATGCCATGTCTGCATGAAAAAGTCCTAACAAAAGCAGCTAAAAATTTTAAACATAGGGTATTTTTGGCCTGCAGCCAGGCAATCCTCGTTCAAGAAATGAAAGCGGGAATATTCCAATTCTAGGAAAAGCTATGAAATTGAGATAAAAAATGTGATATATATATATATATATTTATATATAGATAGATAGATAGATGAAAAAAAGAGTAGGAGAGGAATTTAAATGGGGGGTGGCGATCCGTCACCAAGGTAGACAGACTGATCGATCTCTAGAGAGAGTGACTCAATTTCCATTCCAAATATTCCATTGAACAGTGCCCTTTGTGTTTTCTCGAATTCAAACCTGCATAAACCACCATTATAGCACCTCCTTTTTCATTCCCCATTATAAAAGATAAGGAAAAACGGACTCCTGCTTCGTCTCTTTCTCTCTCTCTCTCTCTCTCTCACTTTTCTTACTCTGGGGAAGGAAGGAAAGGTCTCTGATCTTTTTCTGCATCCTTAAATACACAAGTTGCCCTTTTCATTAACTTTTCCTTCATACCATCATCCCTCGAAAAACATTGTTAGTTTCTCTTTTGCTGCAATTGATTTTTTTTTTTTTGGTTTAATCTGACTGGTTGTAGTCTCTGCAATTTTTTTTTAACCTCTCATCTTTCTATCAAACCTAGAGGGATCCTACAAACAAGCCTATAATCTCTTCTCTCACTCGCTCTTGCTTTCACACATAATACTCATGCAAATCATGGGGCACTTATGATATAATCACAACACATCCCTTCCTTTCCTTTGCGGCTCTTCATTTCTTTACCTTCGAAGTTCTAACCCAACTTTTCCTGTCGGTTTTCTTTTCCTTTTCCTTATTGTTTTGGGCAGTGCTTTGATTACACTTCCCTTCATTTGTTCTCTTTATTTTAATTTCTTGTCTCTGTTAAGTGTTAAAATACTCCCTTCAGGGCTTTTTGACTAAGATCTTCAACTTTTTCCTTGTGTTTACAAGCTCCAATAATATAATGAGAACCACACCTTTGCCTGATCTATCCTTGCAGATTAGCCCACCATCCGTTTCAGATTGTAAGGCCAAGGAAATGGCCTACGATGGGTTATCAAGGAAATCAATCTATAATGATAGGAGTTCAACGACTGATTCTGGCAGCAGTGGAAGCGATTTGAGCCATGAAAATGGATACAGTAATCCAGGACCTGGGGAACCCACGTTGAGCTTAGGGTTTGAAATGGCAGATTTGGGTCCTCCCCATTTACAACAACCAAGAAACGTTAATCATCATCAGCATCAATATCAGCCTCAAATCTATGGTCGTGATTTCAAGAGAAATGCAAGAATGATCAATGGAGTAAAAAGAAGCATCAGAGCTCCCAGAATGAGATGGACTTCAACCCTCCATGCTCATTTTGTTCATGCAGTCCAGCTTCTTGGAGGCCATGAAAGTAATATAAACCTCACATATCTTTTCATCTAGAATAGATATATTTAATTTTTCTCCTTTCCCAGTTAGTGCAAAATGGAAAAATTTGTTGGAAAAAGCATAACAAGTTTACATCTTTGTATCGGCAACTGTCACAGGAGCAACGCCAAAATCTGTCTTAGAGTTGATGAATGTCAAGGATCTAACCCTAGCTCACGTGAAGAGTCACTTGCAGGTGGGGTTACTGTGGGCAATCTTCATTTCTTTGAACTTATGTATATGATCAGAAGTGTTATTATTTTATGATTTTCCTTAGTTGTTTTGGCATCTTTATCGTGTTCTATTTTTGTATTTCTATGATTCAACTGTAGTAGGTGTGAAGAAACAAGGGGTAAGGACAAAAGGGCATCTAGTTATAGATGGTAATCTTACCAAGATGGACTTTTTTCTCATTATCTCTATGGGTGTTCTGTGTTCATGCAGATGTATAGAACAGTGAAGAGCACTGACAAGGGATCAGGTAATTGGATTTTCCCTTAGGACTACAGCATTTTTATTTCTCTTCTATTATTTCTCTAATTTGTTTGAGAACTAACTCGGTGACCAAGTGTGACAGCGGCTTTATCATTTGATCCACTATTCCCCCCTAAAACAGAATCGTTTGGAACTATTAGACTGATTGATTCTAAATATGAATTATTTGCTGGGTGTCTGATAAAGCAATAGCAGTGCCTCAACTTATCGTGGGTGTTTCAGGTCAAGGGCTGACAGACATGAGTTTGAACCTAAGGACAGGGAGTGATGATTTGGATGGAAGACTATCTTCCGGAAAAGCTGATACCAACCATTCTTATTCTCTCAAACCATCACCAACCTCACAACAACTGACACCACAAAGGACCCTAAGGTGAGGACATCTGCAACATCTCCCCTCTCTGCTTTCCTGTTTAATTTCTTTGTCTAAGAAGCTGCATCGTGATCTTCTCTATCTTCATAAATTTAAAGATAAAACAATGCCTAATTTAAATTGATGCATCAACTCAATACGATCGTACATGCACGCAAATACACATATTCTTGGCCATGGACTCCTTTGGTCCAATGTGTTGTCTGTCATTGTTTGTAGTGTAGATAAAGCCAGTTTATTAGAACCTCAATGACATAGATTTTAATGAAGATGACCTAGGGTTTTTTGATAAGCTAAGCTTTTTTCGTGTTCCATTCCAAAAACCAAGTTCCATCCAGTTTCCACCCGTTAGATTTCGAATGTACTAATCCCCATATCTATCTTCTAATAAAAGTCAAGGTTTTTTGTTCAAATTTCAATGCTGCTATAAGTCTATAACCTGACGGGCTTTCTTCTGCTACATTTTACAAGAAGCTAGCACCCTAAACTTCGCATGACCTTTGTACTTATTTATTGATCTACTAATTAATTAATTAATTATACACTTTGCTGTCTCCTTTAATTTGTTGACTCCCTCAACGATAGCTTAGTATAATGTGATCTTGTAAAAGCAAGATTTTGGAGCTGCATTCCTAATCCGAGATATGTTCAACAAGAGTTGCATGGCTTTCCATGCTCAACATTTTTTAATTGAGTCATTTATATCTAGAGTCTTGATATGATATATCAAAACTTAAGAGAAGAGAAGAAATACTATAGATCATAGATATATCCTCATCATGTAATTATAATCAACTTTCCAATCTTATTTTCAGAAAGCCAATTTTTATACACACATTTTAAATAGATGAAATTAAAACCCTCTTTATCTGTTTCATCTTGAATTAAATAATGATAAACAGTTAGAAATGAATAGACTGCAAATAAGATCAATGTATGCATGAAGAGGGGATTTGGTTTAGACTAATAATTGCTAGTGCTTCCTCTTCCTGGAGGATGAGCTAGCGAGCTATATTTAATCTTACTTTGTGTTTTCTTACTTGTTTGCAGCGGTTCATGGCTAACCTCAACGGAGACAAATAATTTGAGCATATCAAGCCCTGGAAATGGCTTGACTTTTAAGCCAAATGATGCGAAGGTATGATTGCATAAGCGAAAACAAAATCGAACATATTGGTTGCTCAATTAGCTATCATTGTGTTAATAATCAATCGTATGATTAATTTTAGTTTTGCTATAGGTGGATGGAGACAAGGAAGTGCTTTGTGTGTCGGATAGAATGAAGGAGAGATTAGATCCCAGCTCCTTGTCACCTTCAGACATGTTCCTTAACCTAGAATTCACCCTCGGCAGGCCAAGCTGGCAAATGGACTATGCTGAATCTTCAAATGAGTTAACCCGTCTCAAGTGTTATACAATAGACACCATAAAAACCAGCAAATATGATGTTTTTCCTGTGAATTTGGGGGGAAATATCTAATTTGCATGAATTTGATTGTTCCATGTTCTTTAAATTTTGTCTGGAGTGAAAAAGCAAAAACGTGAAAGAAAGTGTATTTAGCCTTGTGAATGTCGTGTAAGCCCTCTTGTTCCATGTAATTTTGATGGCATTGTGAAAAAAAAAAAAAAAACCAGCATTCTAAAATCCAGCAATGATCTTGATACTTCGGGGCCATGGTCTATGGTCCTTGCTAGGGTTCTGCATCGTTCCAGGAGGGTCCCCAACAGTGAACAGGTGTGCGAAATATCTTCGACAGTTTATGCTAATCAATCAATTTCACATTCGGTGCTCTCTGTGAACATTAAGCTGGGTATGGCCATGCCTGCCTTCGTGTCCACGGATATGATTGTAGCCAAGATTTGAAAGCTCGTGTCCTGATGGGCTCTGGCCTTAGAAGCTTGAACGTACGATTTGATAAGAGATGGGTCCATACTCCACACATATAACACGTCTACTGAAAAATAGTAATAATGACCCTTTGCATTAATTAAGTAATCGTGATGATTCTCTTAGGACCACATTTTTTCAAAGTTGTCATGAATCATGATTGTTCTTCAATTCTTCAAATTACTATCCAAGCTATGACCACCAAATTTGCGTGATTCTTTCAACCGACTAGTGAAATCCAAGAGTAATTTCACATATCCAACTTACTCGGATTTCGTTTCCTTTGGAGCATATGTCAGAAACAATAAGGCTTGTGGTCATAAATTCTCCATAGATATCCAGTTTGGTCGAGGTCCCCTCCCCTGTTCAATCTCAACTTGATCAATTAAACCTTCTGATAACTTCGGTTTAAAATCAAAGGGATGACTATATTTATACACTGTTATAAATTGAAGTCCCATATACATATGACAGAGTCATTAATGGAGGCACACGCTCACAAAAGCAAACATACAATTTTCCCCCATTGTTAGTTGTCGTGTAATTGCCCACGCCCCTTTCTTCATCACTGCAGTGAAGAAATCAGAAAATGAAATCTTGTACTTTTTCATTTGGATATATGGTGCACAGTCGCTATCAATCTTTCATTACCCTAGGCTCAATTCCTACCTGTACATTTTTCTTGAAGGTTAAACAAAAACAGAGAAAGAAAAGAAAAAGGCCCGTTAGATCCAATCTCGATTTTGTGCTGATTATCAGGTGGTCTCCATCGCTGAAAATCAAAATTATTGTGGGCCTGTTCGACTCTGTCTTAGCCTTTAGGCCTTCAAAAAATTTGCGGTCCAGGAAAAAAAAAGAAGGGTGTTGGAAATTGGGAACTGGTCCTTGTTTTTGTCGATAATGATTGCATGGTTGTCTGTTGCGTGGAAATTGTGTCCGCCAATGAGACAGCGTCATTTTTCGAGTACCCACCCAAGAAAAGCAAAAATTTCATCATTTCTAGTTTCTACTAAAATTTTTAAGCTGTTTTCTACAAAATTTCCAGGCGGTTTTATCATTACATATCTCATCTTGTTAAAGAAATCTTTCCGACAAAACACTTATTTATCCTGTGCTTCCATTTCTTTCTTTGAAACTTCTTTTCATGTCTTAACCTGTTCTGCTTTTTCCAATGTATTAGATTCTTTTTTGTTTCTTTTTATATGTTTTTGGGTATGTAATATAAATTACAATTTAATTTGTATATCAAACATACAGTCTCCAGACAAATTATAGATAACTTTGTTGATTTAATCATACATATCCTTTGCCAATGGATTTGTGGTCCCAAATTGACGTATTGATGATTTTCTAGTATTATTGGGGCATTTCAATTTCTTGGTCAATTTTCCTTTGCTGCCAATAGCTTAATGTAATCCCAAGACACTGTAAAATTTACTAAAGATTATGTGACTAATGGTGCGAACAAGTCAATATTGGATAAAGAATTTCATATATTGATTACATGAGATTAATATAGATGAGAATTCCAGTCTTCTGAGACCTGATTATGTGAATGCTTCACTCTCTGCACTGATCTGATCCCATTTGGGAGAAGAATCATGCATAAAGGAAATGACTATATTTGTCTATGCAACAATTTGAAATTATACAAAGAAACCAATGTTATTGGATTATTATCTATGCTGCTGAACCATTCCTTGATTCTGTTTGCATTTGGGCTTCTTGTGAATCCATGTTGGATGAGCTTCATGTCTTCCATGTTATGAATAGATTCAGAGAACGATTCCTCAGTACACTGTTCAAACAAAGGGGAATTTTGATTTATTTTTTAGACTGTTTACCTTGACTCTCGTCATAGATCATGATTTATCTTATAATGTTGGAATGAGTGCTTGCTCTGCTGTGCAACATAGACTGTTCCTATTTTTGTCTGATTAAGGTATTCCAATACTATGAGGACCATCCTAGATAGGATTGAACCATCTATAACAAAGTTTAGCTTCAAATAAAATGTGTAACAAACATCATCAGTGTCCTATGTTCAACTGCTGACATATTTTTTTATTTAAATAAATTATTTGTGTTTACTAATCAAAAGTTAAACACCCCCAAATGCTATCATGCAGTAATCCAAGCCACAATGGATATTGATTTCCTCCTTCCTTACCTAAGCAATAACATTACAGGTGTCTTTGCTATACAATTCTCCAGTTTCCTGCTAATTAGAATGGTCTAAAGAATCTTTGAAGGCCCAAAAAACTCCAGAAGCTGCCGGTAGATATGGCCTTTAGTCGGTCATCTCCATGTATTAGATGGATCGCAGCTTCCATACTTACCACTGGGAGCCTTCGCTAACAAGTGTGGATCAATATTCACCACCTTAATTGGCTTGCATCGGGCTGTGGTGGTCAGTAGTTCGGAGTTGGCGAAGGAAATATTTACCACCTATGATGTTGCTGTGTCCTCACGGCCCAAACTTACTGTAGGCAATTACGTCGGCTATAACTATGCCATCCTTGGTTTCTGCCTTTATGGTGCATAATGGATCGAAATGCGCAAAATAACAGCCTCGGAGCTTTTGTCGAGCCGTAGGCTTGAGCTATCGACACATGTTAGAGCCTCTGAAGTAGAAAGTGTCATATTAAAAACTTCGTCGAATTTGATGACAGGAGACTGATCCAATCGAAAAGAAATGAAGAAACTTAAGTAACGCACTTTTAGAAGGTTTTTTAACTAATAGTTTTCTAATTACAGGTGCAAATCATCACTTGAAAATATCATCACACGACATAGTGTCTAAATGAAAAAGAATAGGATTTTAATTCAAATTCTTTTTGAACATACATGAACCTTCGAACTAGAAATATGAGAGTGAGTGAATGGTTTAATTCTTCATAGATTTGGATGTAAAATTACATAAAATTATGTTAAAATGAATGTTAATGAAAATATTTATAAACTTTGACTAGAATTAGAAATATCTCTTCACCTTTAAGTGAAAAATCATCACTTCTAGAATGAAGTATTCAATTTTCAATAAAGGCATTCTAATGCTCGAATTATAAAAGTATTATTAAATTTTCAATAAAAACATTCGGAGTCCGAATAAGATAAAAACTTGAAAGAAAATTTAACATAAAAAAGAGACGTTACTAGAATTCCTTTAAAGTTTTTTGGTTCATCTATTGGTCAAATGAGAAGAAAATGAGAAGAAGAATAAATTTTTTCTTAGTTTTCACAAATAATTAACAAAGAGAATGTACTACAATTGGCCACTAGACTTGATGCACCAAATGATCCATATTTGCGTGATTAAGGAAAAGACTATATAAATACTAGTATTAAAATTTGAAAATTAATACAAAATGATCGTTACAAAGTAGGTGAAAAGGAAAATGAAAGTTTGGTTGGAGAGACACCACGCAATCCATTTGTCCTGCTTGAGATATGATGAAATAGCATTCAAACTTTAATCAATTCACGGCAGATATTTATTTATTCATTCTCAATGTTATCATCCAATGGTAACAAGTTTATCACTTAATAATTTATTTTAATTTAAAAAATTCATCCATGACAAATTGTCTGGGCCAATCAAAAGATCAGTCATTTGCTTCGATGGGTTTCCTTCTGCCTGACCTAAGCAGCTCTGTAGTTACGCTAAGAGCAAAAACATTATTGGCCACCTTCCATTGTTAAGAGGACCAAAGCTTCCTCGTACATAGAACACTTGGAGCCATGGCTGAAAAATATGGTCCTATCTAAGCCATCCGGTTAGGGGTGCACCCGGCGTTGGTAGTGAGTTCTTGGGAGCTGGCTAAGGGAATATTCACAAGCCTTGATGTGGCTGTTGCCTTTCGTCCCAAAATGGCAACTTCAAAACACATGGCCTACAGGCTACAACTATACCCATGTTTGGGTTCGCACCCTACGGCCCATACTGGGGTGGAACGCGCAAAATTGTCAATTTAAAGTTATTGTCAAACGGTAGACTCGAGCTGCTCAAGCACGTCCCTGAAGTAGAGACATCGTTGAAAGAGCTCTACAAACTCTGGACCGATAAAAAGGGCTACTCAAACCATGCTTAGTTGAAATGAAACAATGGTTTGGGGACTTGGCCTTCAATCTGGTCTTTAGGATGCTGCCGGGAAGAGGTACTTTGGAGGAGGTGATGCAAAGGCTCATGACAATAAGGCCAGTCAATTACTATTTTTTTTTTTTATATTTGATGTATTATTGATACATAAATTTTATATATTATTAAAAAATCAAATAATATTATCTTATTAATATAATGAATAAGATAATATCATTTATTAAAGAATAAATTTTTTATATATTTATTTTAAAAAATATAAAAAAATTTCACTTTAAAAATAAAAACACAAAGAATGAGGCACACTAGTCAAAAACTCAAAATAAGTACTTTTATTTTTCCAGCTCAGTCACTCTCTGAATTTTCTCTCGAGCTCTATCGCGGTGGTTGGAATTTTTTTGAATGTTCCAAATCGGGCTTCAGAAAATTTGCTTCTCATCACATTATATTACAAGACTTTCTGTGCTGACTTTCATCTCCCATGCTTCCGTTTCAACATCGATGTAGATTTTTTTTTCCCACATTTTCAGCTGCTAATTTCAACATTTCTGGCTGCCTTGTTTTTCTTCTTCCAACGGTGCTCCTCCTGCCAAGATTTTATTGGCTCAAAAAATCAATTGTATCGGCTTGACTTGTCTATCCACGTATTAATGACTGGGCCAAGTAATTTTCTACTTTATTTAACAACTAATTATAATGCCCGAAATAATTTTATTTATTTAATATAAATATATATTAATTTTATTTTTAAATTATATTTAAATCTTTAAAATTTATAGCATATATAAAGTTTATTTATATTAACCTGTCATTAAAAAATAAATTTTATGAAAATAACAATAAAAAAATTATGTCTTTCTTTTGGATTTTTTTTACAATAATATTTATACATTTGTAAGATTGTATCAAATAAAAATAAATTATATCTTTCTTAAAAAAATAAAAATATATATTATTGAATAATAAATTAAATAATAAAAAAATATTAACATATTTTCATTTTAATAATCTTGACTAAATCATTATGTAAAATATGAAAAATGTTAGAAAATACGTGAAAGAAGAAAAAAATAAATTAAAAAAATTATTTTTTATAAAAATAAAATTGTAATAATAATAAAATATATTTTAAAAAAAAGTTATAAATAAAAAAATTGTAATAGTACTAGAATATACCTTGAAAAAATTACTAAAAAAATAACAAAAATGATGTGTAACACATTACATTTATAGTATTAAATTTACAAAAAAATTTTTTAGTTATAATTAAGATTAAATAGATAATTTTTAAATTAATTTTTTAAATTTTAAAATAGATACAATAAGTGATAAAGAAAATATTAAATTTTTTACATTTATTTAAAATATAAATTTGATAATTAAAATTCAAATAAATATAATTATTTTGATAATTTTATTATTTAAAAATTTTAAATAAAAATTTTAAAATTTTATATAAAATTACTTGAATTTTTAATCCCATACATAAATTTTTTCTATGCCAAGGTTTCGAAATCGATGTAGATTTTTCATTTTTTACCACATTTTCAGCCGCTCATTTCAACATTTCTGACTGCCTTGCTTTTCTTCTTCCAATGGTGCTGCTGCTGCCAAGATTTTATTGGCTCAAAAAATAAATTGTTTCGGCTTGCCTTATCAATTCACCTATCAACGTCTGGACCAAGTAAAAGTTCTAGAATAATAATTTTTTACTTTATTTAACAACTAAATTATAATTCGTGTCATATACGAAATAATTTTATTTATTTAATATAAATATATATTAATCTCTTTTTAAATTTATATTTAAATTTTTTAAATTTATAGTATACATAAAATTTATATATATTAACTTGTCATTAAAAAATAAATTTTATGAAAATAATAAAAAATTGAATATTTTTATTTATAATAATATTTATATACTTGTAAGATTATATCAAATAAAAATAAATTATGTATTTCTTAAAAAATAAAAATATATATTACTAAATGATAAATTAAATAATAAAAAAATATTAACATATTTTTATTTTAGTAATCTCGACAAAATATTATGTAAAATATGAAAAATGTTAAAAAATATGTGAAAGAAGAAACAATAAATTAAAAAAATTATTTTTCATAAAAATGAAATTGTAACACAATAAAATTTCTCTTAAAAAAAGTTATAAACAAAAAAAAAGTGCAATAGTAATCAAATATACCTTGAAAAAAATTACTGAAAAAATAAAAAAAATGAAATTTAACGTATTATATTTGTAGTCTTAAATTTGCAAAAAATTTTTTTAGTGGTAATTAGGATTAAATAGATAATTTTTAAATTAATTTTTTAAAATTTAAAATAGATATAATAAGTGATAAAGATAATATTATATTTTTTGTATTTATTTGAAATATAAATTTCATAATTAGAGTTCAAATGGATATAATCGTTTTGATAATCTTATTATTTAAAAATTTAATATGAAAATTTTTTGAATTTTTAAAATCTTATATAAAATTATTTGAATTTTTAATGTCTTATGTAAATTTTTTAAAAAGATAATTTTTAAATCAAGGTAAAAAAAATTATTGAAATATTTGAATAAACTTAATTTTTGTAATTTTTAAACAAGTTTAAAAGATTTTGATAATTAAATAATTTATTAAATAAGGTTGTTTGGTAAACAACTAAAATTATTTATTAAAAAAAGTCTATAATTTATATTTTTAATTTTAAAAAATATATCTATAAATTGATTTAATTTTTAATTATAATTTAAATAATTTTAATATTTGAATAAATTTAAAATGATTTTAATTTGTAATTAAAAAAAACTATTTATTCTTCTAAAAAAAGTGTCCCATGTGTTATTTAAGATAGTTGTTCATATTAGTGCTTATGTGATAAACTTATTTATGTATGTTGTTGTAATATATATATATATATATATATATATTTATATATTAGATTTAGTGAAATGGAACCTATTATAGTTATACTATACCGTTATATGTATACCTGGTATATAATAATTCTCTCTCAAATCTCACAACCTCCTCTTTCCTATAATCTATCAAATGGAGCTTTTTCATACATTCCCAACAAATTCAGTTGTAATTGGTACCATATTCGCTTTTCCACTCTTTCTTTTGTCACTCCTATGGATATCAAAAACTGCCTTCAAAAGCAGAAACAAAAAGAGAGCAGCACCAGTCGCTGGCGGCTCATGGCCTCTAATCGGCCATCTCCACCTCCTAGGAGGACCGACACCAGCCCACATAGTCCTGAGCGACATGGCAGAGAAATACGGTCCTATCTTCACCATCAAGATGGGTGTTCATAGGGCTTTGGTTGTCAGCGACCATGAAACTGCTAAAGAGTGTTTAACCACAAACGATAAAGCCTTTGCCACTCGTCCAAAAACTCTTGCCATGGAGCTCTTGAGCTACAACCATGCCATGTTTGGCTTCGCCCCTTACGGACCTTACTGGCGTCAAATGCGTAAAATTGCCACTCTTGAACTCCTCTCCAGCTACCGGCTTGACAGGCTCAGACATGTTCGACAATCTGAGATAAAGATATCAGTACAAGAGTTATATCAACTTTGGAACGAGAAGAAAGATAGCTCTGGTAAGATTTCGGTGGAGATGAAGAAATGGTTTAAGAATGTAACTCTTAACGTGATTCTCAGGATGATAGTAGGGAAGCGAATCCCAAGTTCGGGCAACGATGCAGAGAGTGAGAGATGGAAACAGGCGCTGAAGGACTTCTTTGACTTGAGTGGGAAGTTTGTGATATCCGATGCGTTACCGTATTTAAGATGGTTGGACATCGGAGGAGACGAGAGGTTCATGAAGAAGGTAAGAAAAGAATTAGACGACGTTGCCAAGGGATGGTTAGAAGATCACAAACGAAAGAGATCAGATGCAGCAGGTAAATCGAAGAGCGACGAAGATTTCATGGATGTGATGTTTTCAATCGTCATTGACGATGGGAAACATGATGCCGATACCATCAACAAAGCGACCTGCCTGGTACGAATTTGTTAGTCACAAATATTTAATTTGGGTTCAATAATATTAGTAATTTATTCTAATTAGTATATATTCATTTCATTTAATTCATATCATATTAGTGATTTTGACAGTAAATGACGAACTCTCCAAAAGGAATATTATAGTATATGTTCACAATAGTTCATCACTTTTTCTTAAAAAAGGTTAATTGTTTGATTTTCATTGAATCTTGACAAAGTGCAAATTGACACTTGTTTACAGTCCTTAACATTTTAATATAAATTTGAATGTGCAATTTCATTCTATTATGTCTTGCTATGTATCTAATTGAGAAGTTGATGGAATTATGTAACTAATATAATCTTATTAATCTGTTTAACTAACCCCTATGGAAAATCCTCCATTGTTGGACCTCCTTATTGCAGGCTTTGATCTTAGCAGCCTCTGACACCACAATGGTTACATTGACGTGGGCTTTGTCTTTACTACTTAACAACCGCGACGCATTAAAAAAAGCACAAGAGGAACTAGACATCCATGTCGGCAAAGACAAACTAGTGGAAGAATCCGACCTCAAAAAGTTAGTCTATCTTCAAGCCGTCGTCAAGGAAACACTGCGTTTATACCCTCCCGGACCACTTTCTTTGCCTCACGAGTCCATGGAAGACTGTGTCGTAAGTGGCTACCACATCCCTGCAGGCACACGACTTCTGATCAATCTTAACAAAATCCATCGCGATCCAAAAGTATGGTCATATCCTTGTGAATTTCAGCCTGAAAGATTCCTAACTACCTTCAAAGATTTTGATGTTAAGGGACAGAATTTTGAGCTGATTCCATTCGGAAGCGGTCGAAGAATGTGCCCCGGAGTTTCCTTTGCGCTTCAGGTATTGGAGCTTACACTAGCTAGTCTGCTGCAAGGGTTCGAGCTAGGAACCCCGTCGGATGAATCGGTTGATATGACTGAGGCAATTGGGTTGACAAATTTGAAAGCCACTCCACTTCAAGTCTTTGTAACTCCACGTCTTCCTGCTTTTTGTTATTAGCTTTTAAAGGAGGAAAACATTTATACGAAACTAGTATGGGCTTCGCTCGATTTACTATAATAATTTTTAGTATTCATGTTTGATACCATCAATTACACCGGAAATTGTCTCCATAGATGTCGATGCTTTTTTTGATTCAAAAAAACAAAATCCTATAGTTCAAAGTTGAGTAGTATTCAATAATTAAATTGTCGTAGGATCATAAAATTAAAAACTCTGGATTGCAAATGACACATAAAAATAGTGACCTCTCAACTGCAAAGGTTTCACCACAAAGCCAAAAACAGCGAATGAAAGCATCAACAATGCCTCTCCCCAGAATGCATAGCGTCAGTGGAAATGACCCCTAACCTATATGATAAGCAAATAGAATTTTTAGTTAACCATCAAACTTCCAGCACACATGTCTACACACTACAGAGGGATCCCACCAACTGCAATTTAGCAACACATTATAATTTCCAAACACAAGTATTTTTAATAAATAACTTTCCTTTGTGATTTTCTTTGTTCCGTTTTAACCTTTCAATAGCCTTAACAAATAAAAAATTAGATGATGAAAAGAAAAGGAAAAACATCACTGATATCCAAAGTAAAAGAAATATGTAAAAAAACAGATCTATTATTTTCGTGCAATCGAAATTCAATATGCCAAAAGTTCTTACTTGAATAGAAGTAACAACTTGTAGCAAAACTTAAAGAACAGAGGGAGCACTTGGAATGATCAAGTTCTGGATGAATGCGGGCATGATATGCCTAAAATGGAATTTGATTGAAGGAATTCTTGCCTGCAGAAAAAACAAAGTTTTATTTGCTTGACAAAAAAGTTCAGGTTTATTTGTAAACATGTGCTAGTTCCCAATCTCACAAGAGTATAAAAGCATCTGACCTGTTTTATAAAAGATTGCCATGGTAGCATTTATAATGGAAGCCTCTAATGTCATTACAGGACTGAGGGACTAACAAATTTGGCCTTTATCAACACTTTTCGTTTTAGTTGTAATGTGGTGAATCTTTGAAGTCACTAGTCCTAAAAGCAAAACGGATGTCATGTTAAAGACCAATTGGAAAGCAACTATGCATCGAAACCCTCCAAAAAATAACTTGCATATTGGAAAGGCATTACCATTGAATAAACAGTTCTAACTTTCTACCAATGCTAAAACAGTGAGAAAGGATTATTGACACAAAAAAGATAAACTCACATTTGAAACTTTGACAGATGTGCGCACATTTCGTGGCATAGGTTCTCCCATATCTTTGCTTTCTCTCTCGGAATATAGAGAATATTCTATAGCAGCAGCAACCCCTTTCATCTTCTTTGTGTTTCAGATCACAGGGATGAGATTAAGAGAACCCCAAAAGGCCAAAAGAAGGAAATATTGAGAAGAGAAAGAGACAAAGGGGAGAAAGAAGAGATATTGGCAAGAAATAGTAGAAAGAAAGAGATCCACCCACCTGTAGAAAGAATAAGTGTAGCAGAGCCAAACGAATACACCTGTCCAACGCCCAAAAACACAAACATACCTGTCAAAACAAGCACCAAAAATTATAGCTGGAAATAATTCGCAATCTAAATAATAATGTCCCGAACGTATGTAAACATCTCTTTATAAAAGTTCATGAAAAATTTTCCATTCATTTTTCTTTCATGTCTAATATTTCAATGAAAAGATCTTCAAGTCCTTTTCGTAATTCTACTAATTATAAACCATCTTATTCTCAAAGCCAAACAGCATTGCAACAATAGACGTCGAGCCACATAACTTATGTTTCCCAATTTTCTAGCTATAACTTTAAATTCTTAAAGATTTATATCTTACCAATAATAATTTCGGTTTCATAGCTAAGTTTGATCAAAATTATAACATGCAGCTTTTTTACCAAAACTACTATCAAAACTAAATAAAAAAGTTACTTAAAATATCATTTTTTAACTGTTTCTTTGTCAATTACCGATCCTATAACTACTAAAGCTTTTAGAACCATAGGAGATATAGAAAAGTAGAAAATCTTAGTCTAACAGAAAACGATAACTAAATCACCCTTAGGCTCACATGCCAACACCTGGCAAAAGGTTTGAGATTCACATATCCACAAAATAAGACAACAACAAAAAAAAATATATATATATATATATATATGCAAAACACAAAATTATATAAAAGTAAGATAAGTGATTGTAGATAGTACATTTAAGATTATCTCAATAAATGATCATTGACAAGATTTAAATTCAAAATTTTTTCGTTGAAAAAAATAATCTTAATCAATTGAACCAATCACTTATTGATAAATATGCTCTAAAGTTATAGAAATATCATAAGGGACCAAAAGTTGGGTGATCAAATTCTAAAGTAAACAACTATGTAATAATAATCACCCATGTATGCTCGGTTAGAAACAGATCAACATTAATATATAAAAAAAAAAAACCTTCAAATCTGATGCTATATAAAATGGTACAAGTATAAGCAAGTAGTTAAATTAGTTTAATTCAAGCAAAAAGGGTTTTCTTTTCTTGATCATACAAATAAAAAACACTTAAATTTTAAATCCAAATTTTCTTTTTGCTTCCCAATTTTTCTCATCAACCAAATGGAACAAAACCATATTTAAATTCAATGCAAATTCTAGCATTTTGGGTTACAAAAACTGAAGAAAATTTCTCCAAAAACTTGAAGCAAGAAGTTTCTCCAAAAACTCATGTAAGATTCTACAAAAACAAACAAAACAAAACAAGAAACACAATGGAATTCACCAAGAACAGAGAAGCTTTTATAGCAAAAAATTATTCACATGCAATCAAAGATCAATTTAAAAACCCCAAATCAAATACCAACAAGACAAAAAGAAAATTCACTAACTTTAAACATCAAAAACTAAAATTTCAATGGTAAAACTAAGATTAAAAATAGCAACAAAAAAGCTACTGTCACCACCAATGATAAACAATCATCAATAAGAAATTGAAGTCAAATGACAACATTTGCAATCTAAACCCAAATAACAGCAATTGCAACCTAAACCCAAATAATAGCATTTGGAGTCAAATCCTTTAAAACAAAAAAAGTGGGTTTATCCCAAACTTTTTTTAGTACTGAGATTAAATTAGAAATTTGAATTATGGCTAACCAACCACAAATAAAAGATTAACTTTTTTCAACCAAGTAGAATACCTTGGATTCAAGTTGCTGTTTAATGGCCCAATCTCCTCAAAGTTTCCAATTCCAACTCCTGAGGTATCCTATATTGAGAAGAAATCAAATATTCAAATGATATCAAAATTGAAGCAGAACTGAAATCTAGTCTAAGCTCTTACAAATGAAACATGAAAAAGAAAATTCAAAATTATTATCTTCTTTGCACATTAGTTCACTTTGCACATTTTTTTTCATGACATTTCATGTTACAACAGATTCATTTATATAACTTACAGGTCTAATTTATATCCATAAAATGATTGGCCATGGCCTGGAAGAATGTTCAACTCTATAAGGACTTTTATAAAGTCACCAAAACATGTATGCTTCTATATCATAACTCAATAGAACACAAAACAATAAATAAAAAATAAAAAACCCAAAATCAGAATCATTCATATTAAACTTTTGGATTGAAGAAAACACCAAAATGAATGAGAATTGTACTAATTATGAAGCAGTTGTTTTTCTTACTTGGTCTAACAGCAATTTGTTAGTCATGAACCAATTCTAATACAAGAAAACACTAAAGCATTTGACTCGCACGTGAACCAGTTCTAAATTTTTTTACTTAAAACAAAGCAAATTGAAGCACAATTTAAACTTGGGTATACAATAAATCAAACAAATTTAGCTTTTTTTTTAAAGACCTGAGCGAGTCTCAACAACAGCGACCTTTGATTAGCAACCATTTTGACGAATAGTTAGATGTGAAAAATTGCTAACCTCCTGTACAGCAGTCATCATAACGACCTCTTAATAAGGTCATAAAGAGATATAACAATTTCAGCACTTATCAACACAATGATGAGCCACTCCAAAAAATCCAATTTCCTATTTTGAAGAATTTCTTGAAGAAATTGAATGTTGTGCTGCAAAGGGAGAAAGGGATGCCATATGTTTGCAGATAGGCAATGTACAATATTTCTTATAGTTTTACCATAAAAGAAAAAGTCCCATATCAATAATGACTTTGTTTTCATGCATATGTATATCTTGAGTAGTACACTTAAACATGTATGCCACAAATTGCCTTTTTTTATAAAGGCATGTTTCTAAGAGAGTAAATAGCATACCTCAACAAATTTTAACTTAAAATCAAGACTCGCAAATCTTTGAGTTAATTCAAATTCATCTCATAAAAATTCCCATATTTGAGCATATTTGGCATCTTTCCAAGCAATATCTGATCCGTTAAAACCAAGAAAAATGCATGAGCTAAATTGCATACATTCCGAAAGAGACATTCCTGTTGGTATTTTTTGTTATCCCCGTATGAGACCAATCTAAAAACAAATAAAGTGAAATTAATGGATTATTACAAATTAATTTGGAAACAGTAGCCATACTGAAAGTTTCATAGCCATGATATATATTGTGGGCCAATTACCAACATAATGGACAGTAAAACGTTACCTCTTAAAAAGTCCAAGCTTAAAAATCACATCAACAAGATTAGAATTTGCCTTTCCCACTATCTAAAAAGTTTTTTGCTGTCCATGGTAAATGTTCCCATTTTTTTCATCCCACGATTTATGTGGGCAAACTCTACAACCATCCCATCAACCTATGATTAAAAAAAAAAGTTTTGAGAGTCATAATCAAGTTAATATTAAGAAAGTCAACACTAGAGATCAAATACTACACACCTGGCACACAGTGGTCAAGAGCAATACTTTGACAAAGAACACTTCCAATGGTACATCAATATTTAAGAACTGCAACATAATGTAATCCAATCCACCTTGTATCCATGTGTTTAGAGTTGGCATCCCTCTTACCTCATATCCTGCAAGTTCATAACACATTAAAGACAAATAAAATAAAAACTCCTTAATGTAGTACCTTCTGCATTTCTCTGTTCTTTGAGAAAGCAACAGATCTAATCTCTAATAATGGGGCATAGTGCAAAAGAATGATTATTCCAACTATGCTCAGAAAAAAAGGTCTAATAAAAAAACTGAACT